AGGGAGCCCGATGCGGGACTCGATCCAGGGACTCCAGGATCATGACCTGAGCTGAAGGCAGTCGCTTAACCAACTGAGCCACCCAGGCGCCCTGAATTCAAGGTTTTTAAACTCTCTCCAGTGAAGGTTATTCTCTACGAGGATAATCTGGCCAGAGGACGACAAAACCTGGAACTTCTCCGACCAAGGATAACAGTTCATGAAAAGAGAAAGCAGTTAAGTGGTTCATCTGACAGGACCTAATCTAAGGAGGTCCAGTAAATGGTAATGTTCCAGTACTACCAAAACACTCATTCTCTGTGTTTATTTTTGTGACTTAGTTTCCTTTTCTGTCATCAGAAAGAAATCATGCACATGATGTTTAAAATCCTTTAAGAATCCATCTTCTAAAATAAGAAAAAGGTCTTGAATTATATCCATAACTTCTTTCTCCCTTAAGTGGTCATATAAAAAATAAATTGGGAAATCATTTTTTCTAATTATTTCTAGTCTTTCTCTATAATACTGGTCTGTGCAGAAGCAAATGTGTAACAAGGGACGTTTGGCTTATTCAAATCCACTCCCAAATGAGAAATGTGGCCACAGATCAGAAATGTAGACTATTTGTAAACAGATTCTTTGTCACTGTAGTAGCAGAAGTCAGGAAAGAGGACTTAAACTTTCCCAGACAGAGCTCTCTCTCCTGTTCAGATACACACCTGACTCTCAGGGCCTGAGCAGTCTTTTATGCAGAAAACCTCTGCACTTTCACACAATGGCCCTTAGATTTCTGGGCCTTTGTTCAAGCACTTGCCCCAAGAAACACAGAGACAGGCCTCCTGCTGAGAAGCCCCAGTGAAAAATAGCTTTCAGCTGGAATTCTTCCCTTTCCCAAAGGAGTAAGTCAAGCCAGCTGGAAACTCACGGCTGCCAAAATCTGTCCCAGAAAGACATGGACACCAAATCGAAATGTCCAAGCCAGGCCACTATTGTGGTAGAGAAGGAGGCAGGTGTTGTAGAAGGAAACAGTGAGAGCAGCAAAAAATATGCTAGAAGCAGCTCTCTCTAAACCCAGAGCAGCCCATTAGTGGACTGGCTTGGTAGGACAGCGAGAAGAGGACAGTCTCCTATTTTGTTCAAATGGACCTACCAGGGGGATAAAAAGTGAGGGCAGTCTTACCTGTGGCACACTGGCATTCATAGCCATTTGGGTGATCAATACACTTCGCCCCATTCAGACACGGAGTACTGGAACAGTCATCAATATCAATCTGGCAAACTGGCCCAGTGAAACCTTAAAAGGACAGAGTGATGACACAGTCAAAGGACTATCCCATGTCTGTCTATCTAAGGTGTACCTATGATATCCTATGAGAAGGATGCCCACGGAGGGTTGGGTTAAGTTACCAGCAGGGCTTAAACCAATGGCTCAGCAAACATAAAATTATTCTTCCCAACAGGTAACTAGGATAACTGGGAGAAGCTCAGGGCATCAGAGGCAACTGGGTGTGTCTCCACCTCTGTGTCTTCCCAGTACAGATTTCACTTCTAGTTGAAGTAAGGACTAAATGGTTATACATGGAGCCCTCAAACAAGTGAGTACAGCTTCAGAGGAACTGGAACCTCTCTAAAGAAACAACTTGAGAGGCTATTGTCTGTGGCAGAAAATCTGGCATGTCTTCAAGAAGAGCTTTGGGGAGCAGAAGGAGACACAGAGTGTTCTTTGGAAGAAACTGACTTGTGCTGCTTGTTTCTGGACCCAGGGTGAAATATCTAAAAATAAAAATCTCACAGAGGGGCTTCAAGAATATGACCCATGGGGGGAAAAAAACCCTGAATAGCCTACAACCAAGGCTTCTGTGAGGTATGACCTTTCTGAAATATACACACAGACGGAGAGGTCATGGGCCATTCAGAATAGACTTGGACTTCTGGCCACAAAGGATTTGGAATGATCCACTAGCTGAAACAAACTCCCCATTTCTGCACATACTCCTATGCTGAAGTGCTCACTTTAATGACTTCCTCATGTACAGCCCACACACATTCTCTCCTCCTCCCTTCCCTGTGGTCAGGCAGCTTTGTGCTTTCAAAGAAAACAGGGGCAGGTGGTGGGCACTTACCAGGCGGACACAGACACTGGAAGCGATTGACTTTATCCACACACTGACCATTGTTCACACAAGGGTTGCTCTGACATTCGTTTATCTCCAATTCACAATGCACACCTTTGAAACCTGAACAAATTGGACCACACAAGTGGCTTAGAAAGAGAGAAAGGCATACTCTAGCCAAGAAAGCACAAATTTGCAGAGATGACTATATCCTCTATGAGTATGAACATTTCTGCAGAAGTCAAAGGGGACTCTGCCATGATGGGAAATAGTCACTGCAAGTATCAGTGAGAGAGGAGAATACTGCAAGATATCCATGCCACAGTGAAGAGGGAGAAGTTACCTCCAAAGACACTAGCAAAACACAGCATGCCACAGCAAAGACTGCCTCATGTCTCTGACCAGTCCCTGCTTCACTTTCAGAACAGCACCAGGCCCTAGTTGATGTTCCCAAAGACCAGCTGACTTGGAGATGCTGTTGCTCTCAGGGTACAAGTCAAGGTCAGGAGGGCCTCCCAATGCTACAGCAGCTAGCAGCCTTAATCTGGCAAAGCAGCCACTGTCCTGTGTCATTTTATCCTAGATTTACCTGAGCTCTCTAAGGATTCAAGAAATGGTTTCTGCAGAAGAACTCCAGAATACAACTAATTGTATGCACATCACTATGGACAAATGGCAAGTTCCTATATAATTATGGGTAAAATAACTGCTATAAATGCAACAGTATGGTATTTATAATATATCAAGAGATCAGAAAAGTTTGCTATTTAAAGGATTCTTATTGTAAATCCTTTGTTAAATCAAATAATACTTGCATAAAAACAATCACTTCTGAATTTTTCTCTTACATGTAACTGATGTTGACATATAGACTTGTTTAATTTGGTCTCCATAGCTCTAAGAATTCTAGCACTGCATTACTCCTTAAAGGTCCCCTCGGCTGGGAATTAAATGCTGACAGAGCTCATGGAATTGCCACCCTATACTGAGAAGTGCGGGGCAGTGTGTTTAGTCTAGACCCCACACACTGGGTGGGCCCATGTACCTGGCATGCACAGACACGTGAAGCCTCCAATCTTATCCAGACAGGTCGCATCGTTCTGGCAGGGGTCGGAATGGCACTCGTTGATGTCCATCTCACAACGAGGCCCTGCATAGCCCTTTAGACATTCACAGTGGAAGGCACCATCTGTGTTCACACATTTTCCTGCGTGCTCACAAGGATTGCTGTTGGCTGGAAAATAAAGCACCAATTACTGGGATCAAAGTACTTTGATGGAGTTTCCACAGATGTGGATTACAGAAGTAGGTCTGATTGTTATAGCACATGAGAGCCAGGCCTTTAATAATCTGGTTCTCAACTTCCTATTTTCTTCCTTAAAAAAAACAAGGAAAGAAACGAAAGGAAAGGAAAGACAGACTAGAGCAATCTCAACTCTTGTGATTCTCTGCTCCCTTTGCCCAAACTGTCTACTAAAGTAGGGCTTCCTATTAAGAATCAGGTACAGGGATGCCTGGGTGGCTCAGTCGTTAAGCATCTGCCTTCGGCTCAGGTCATGATCCCAGGGTCCTGGGATCGAGCCCCTCATCGGGCTCCTTGCTCAGTGGGGAGCCTGCTTCTCCCTCTCCCACTCCCCCTGCTTGTGTTCCCTTTCTCGCTGTCTGTCTCTCTCTCTGTCAAATAAATAAAT